GGTGCGGGGGGAGGTGTGGGGAGGTGTGGGTGTAGGCTGTGTGTGTGTGGGGTGTGGGATGTGTGTGTGTTAGGGTGTGTAGGGGGGTGTGTGCAGCAAGAAAGTTGCAGGGGGCGGAGGGAGCGGGGACAGGACTGGGGGCCGCGCGCCCTCCCTGAGCAGGGCCGGCTCCCTCGCCAGGCCAGGAGGAGAGCAGCTGCCTGCCCCGGCCACAGTGCCCCCAGGAGTGCGCCTGTCTGGACACCGTGGTCCGCTGCAGCAACAAGCACCTGCGGGCCCTGCCCAAGGGCATCCCCAAGAACGTCACCGAGCTGTGAGTAGCCAAGGGGCCCACGGAAAGGGGCGTTTCCCAAGGGAGTGCTGGCAGCAGCGGGAGGCTACCGAGAGCAGGTGTTAGCTGACCGAGAGCTGGGCCGGGCTTCATTAAAAGCGTGCCTCCGAGAAGGCATGGAGTTTTGTTTGTTTTATTCTTTTAAGATTTTTGCCTTAGGGTCTGTGCACTTGCCAGAGAGAGACGGAGGGAAAGTGAAAAATCACCCCAAGGGGATAGCCGCGCCATCACAACCCCTTCCCCATTCTCACTTTGGGATTTTGGGCACGCATGCACATGTGCCAGAGTGATTTTGAAGCTGTCAGGCCTGGGACTCGAACTGCGTAGTTCACAGGTGATCCAGTGCCTTGGCCTCCACACCACCTGCTGGCCTCTTGATTCCCCCTCTGCAGTTACCTGGCAACACGAGTCTAGGTAGTGCCTCTATTTATTGATTGATTGATTGATTGATTGAGAGATTTTCACTGTAGGGCGCGTGCGCTCGCCAGACAGAGAGAGACATAGAGACAGAAAGCGAGAAATTCCCCCCCAGGGGGGATGGCCGCGCCGCAATCCCTTCTCCTCCATTCTCCTCTTGGGATCTTGGGCATGCACGCACACACGCCCGGCGTGAGTTTTAAGCCACCGGGTCCGGGACACGAACCGCGGTCGACTACATGGGAGTCCAGCGACATAGCCATTACGCTAACTGCTGGTTCCCTCGATTTATTTTTTTAAATTAGCTGTAGGGCACATGTTTGCTGGAGAGAGAGAGAGAGAGAACACCCCCTAGAGGAGACGGCCACGCTGCAGTCTTACCTGACTACCGGCGGGCCCAGTGCTTCGGTTTTGACACGAGGCTCTGCCCTTACAGTACGGAGCAGTGTCACTTTTCACGCAGTGCCATTTCACGAGCACTCCTGTTGTGAAAACGTCCACAGGTTCGCTACCAGTGACACAATAGTCTTCGCAGGGAACTGTAATCCGAGAACGGATCCCCTTTCGTTGGGTGTTTGGTCGTCCCGACTTTTTACGGTCACCGACAGCACAGGGGAGTGTCCCTGCAGTGAGAACGCGGGCCGAAGGCGGTGCAGGGTCAGGCCTTGGCTGAATTCTGCCTCCCGGCCCTCCAGGGGCATGCTTCCGCCCACCCCACTCCCATGCCACTCCCGGGTACGGCGGCCTTCCTGCCCCCGTGCCAGCCCCATATCACGGGTCTCGAATCTTCGTGGATTCGGACACGACGGCTGAGCTCACGTGGGGTGTGGCTGTAAGTGCTTATGGCAGAGGGGGTGTCTCCCACGGCCACCTGCAATGGGGGCTCTGGGCAGCTCCTGACCTCGCCTGAGCCCTGGAGGGACCCCCGGGCCCTGCCACTGGGCAGCTGAGGTCTCCCCAGCTCTCCCTCTCTGGCAAGGAGGCCACCTTCTTCACAGGCACATGAGCCACCATGGCCTTTCCTGGGGCGCTACCGCAGTGTCAGCAGTGGGGTGCCCTCACGTCCTCCTTGGGGCCCGCCACCGCCCTGAGGATACGCTGCCTTCCGTCCCCAGGGCGCTGCCATCAGGGGCTGGGGCGCTCACTCAGGCTCTCCACGCACGCCTCAGCTTCCTGACATGGAGTGGGGCCGTGACGCCGCTGGGTGTGTGGCAGGGCTGCTGGGACGGCCAGGTGGGACGGGGGGCCCTTCGACGGGGGCACAGTGCAGGCCACGTCGCTGCCGCCCGCACCTTTGGGACGCGGGGTGAGCATCTGAAGGGAGGCAGTTGGTGGGAGCCTGGCTGTGGCTCAGCCCACACAGGTCACTGCTCGGCAACTTCCAGTCTCCGGGAGGAAGGGCTGGAGGGCAGGGTGGGGGTTCAGAGTGTCTTGAACCCCGGGCTCCATGCTGGAGAAGTGGGAACCTTGGGATGCTTGGTGCTTAGGAGCTTTTGGGGTGGGCTGGGTTGGAAGGACCATGGCCTGGAGGGTGGTGCCTATAGTGGGAGCAAGAGGGGGACCAGTGAGTGGGTCTGGGTCGGCCCCTGGCAGGGGTGAGACGTGGGGAGGAGGTGTGAGTGGAGCAAAAGCAAGTGAAGAGAGCCAATGGGCGGGAGGAGCAGACGGGGAGAAGTGACCCCGGCCCTGGGCTGGTAGGATCAGAGGAGCCCCAGTGGAGGTGGGGAGGCCCATTGGGCATGCTCGATCCGGCTTTCCTGGGACAGCCGTGGCTCCCAGCAGGCAGAGAGGGCGCTGGGAGCTGGCCAGGGCCTGCAGTGGGCCTCAGAGGCACTCCCACACAAATTGGGGCTACTTGGCCAGGGAAAGGGCGGGGCAGGGAGACGTACCAGGAGTCAGGGAGGCGAGAGGACGCAGAGAGGCTTCACGTCTCAGAGGTCTTTGCCACGCTTCTCCTCCTCGAGCGATCCTGGGCGCCGTGGTCTGTAGGTGACGAGGAGATGAGCACAGAGCCCTGTCTGCAGGGGCTGCACCAGGAATGGGGACACTGGCAGCCCCGACAGCCTAACCTGCTGTGTTCCCCTGCAGCTACCTGGACGGGAACCAGTTCACGCTAGTTCCAGGGCAGCTGTCCACCTTCAAGTACCTGCAGCTCGTGTGAGTATCCAGGTCGCCAAGGCCCCCAAGTCTGCCTCCAAGGACAGGAGGGCCACTGGCCACCAGCCACTGTGGCTCTAGCTTCCCTGGAATGGCCAACCCCCACCCTCCTGGGCAGATCCCCGGCCCTCTGTGGCCTCCTGGGTGCTGTGTGTAGCGCTGTTTTGCCACCTGGTGGCCATGGCTGGGAATTGCATTGCTCCGTTGGTTTGGGGCTGTCTGCCTCTGCCCACATCACCTCCCCAGACCACCCTCTGGTTTGTAATTATTGTTCATGTGGGTTCTCCCTGCAAGGATGGAGGTCAGGGCCAAAGCAGAGGATGATGGAAACCTTTCTGGTGCAGCCTCAGCCCCCAAACAAAACATGAAATATGGCAGCTGCACACCCATCTGTAATGGGGATTTTCTTTAGGTGAACATCTGCTCTTCTGTTTCCACCTTCGGCCATTTCTACCCCATGGAAATATACAAAATAAGCTCCCCGTGGCCTTCCAGCCTGGTGGGACTGTACCTCAGTTGTTTTTATCTGCTCATTGGCCAGATTCTATCAAAAAAGAAATCCAGAGAACATTCGTCAGTGTGGCCTAGAGCTGAGCCCCTCCGCGGGCGTCGAGGCCTGTCACTGGATGAGGAACCTAGGCGAGGCTGGACATCAGTGTACACTCCCTCACTGGGAAAGCCTTGCTACGAGAACAATGGCGACCCTACGCTGCGGGCGGGGACAAAGGTGGTTGCCTTCGACACGCTCCGGTGCAGGCTGCTTACACTCGGTCCGAGGACTGGCCGCTCTGAGCGGCGCTGGCGTGCAGAGTTAGGACGGTCTGTTGGTCGTCTTTGCTTAACGACCTAGCGAGTGTGTTTTGAGCCTTTGCAGGGGTGGGTAGGGCTTGGTGGCTGGCGAGGGGTGTCAAAGAATGGACACTACGGGGTGTACCCGGCCTTTCTCTGGTCTGCCCCGAGGCCGCTCCGCAGGGCCTCAGAGAGACTGAGGAGGAGAGGAGGGGAGGAGGGGAAAGGCCTCTTGGGGCTGAAATGCCACCACCTCCCCTCTCAAGGCCGACCACAGAGTGTACTGAATATCAGCAAGGAGCTTAGGTCGCTGCTCGGCGGAGGGTCGTTTTCTAGGGGGAGAAGGCAGCACGCCATGTTGTGAACGCCTGAGCCCAGAGCTGCACGAAGTGGGTGGAGAGGAAGACCCCTGAGCCATGTCCCCACCCCCGCTCCCCTGCTGTCCCAGCCCAGGAAGGAACCGGAGCCCAGGGTCATGTGGGTGATGAGCTCCACGGTGCAGAGCAGGGCTAAGGCTCAGGGGGTGCGATGAACGCAGGGTGGTGGGCACCGGGGATGGGGTGTCCAGGGCACAGAAGTATGTGATGCTCAGAGGATTCCAGGACGTCCAGAGCCTGCACGGTGTGGCGGGAGGGGGTGGTGGGTAGGAGTGCCTGGCAGGGGTCTGGGCAGGAGGGTCAGGAAGTGACCTAGTGGGGTTTGTGCCCTGGGAAACTTGCCAGGTGCCCGCCCATGTGGAAGAGGGGTCAAAGGGGAAATCAGTGTGGGCAGGAGATGAGGTCGCACTGGCGGCAGAAACCAGGGAGGTGCCGGTGCCTGGCCTCGGCCGACTCTCCGGAGGGGACAGGCACAGGCCAGCCTCGTCACTGTGTCGAGAGCGGGTAGACAGGGCGGGGCTCGGGCTGTGGTGTCTGCACGGGTGACTGTGTTTGAGGGTCCGTAGGGACAGGCCCCAGGGGGGGCACCATCAGCAGCCTCAGGGTTGAGAGAAAGCTGCACTTCCCGGAGACAGGCGGCCCAGCCAGAGGGCAGAGGGTGTGAGCACAGATGGGGGTGTGGGCGTCTGTGCCACTGCTGCAGTGACCTGGGGCTGCAGACGGGGCTTGAATCTGGCTCCGCCTCCGCCAGCTGGGTGGCCTGGGGACTGACTCACCGCCCTGAGACCTGGGTCTTTACTTGAGAAGTGCAGTCATCCTCTCCCTAACAGGGCTAGTGCCTGGCCATGGGACGTGCTGGCAGAGGGAAGGGACAGAGACCCTAGATCTGGCAGCTGAGGTGGCCCCAGGTCGGGGTGCGGGCCCCTGGTGGGGAGGCTGGAGCCACTCTACTTGCAGAGGGTGGGGAGAGGTGGGGCAAGAAGGCCCAAGGCCCTGGGCACAGTGGGAGTCTGGAGCTCAGATGAGGGCGGAGGGCGGAGCTGTGACCCAAGTGCTCCTCTCTACCCCTCCCTCCTCCTACTGTGCCAGTCAGAGCCCTGGCCCACCTGGGAGGCCTTGGACAGAGTCGGGAAGGACAACACCCCGGAAGGCAAGCAGGGGAAGCTTGTCTTTCTAAATGACGATGCCCCTGCCTTTTCCAGGGACCTGAGTAACAACAGGATCAGCTCCTTGAGCAATTCCTCCTTCACCAACATGAGCCAGCTGACCACTCTGTGAGTCCCGGCGGGGCTGGGGGCCGGGGAGGGCCTGGGCCATGGCTTCTGGGACCCCCAGCCCCAGCCTGCGCCGTGCACGGCTTGCTTGGTGCTGACAGCACGGCGGGCAGAGCCCTCACCTGCCGCCGGCTGGAGCGTGTGCCCGGGCTGCAAGCCTAACACCGAAAACTCCCTTCGCTGTGACATGCGCTTACGTGGAAAAGCACAGGACGTATGCACGGGCTGACGTGGTCACGGAGTTTGCACACGTGTGGGCCCCTAAGGCCCCCTGCAGAGCACTGCCAGCACTCCAGGAGCTCCCACCCTTTCCTGGTCACTGTCCCTCCCCATCCCCACCCAAGTCAGTCTGTCTGGGCGATCATGTCTTTGGGTTTCTTTTTTTAAATAGTATTGTTGTCTACATGTGCATTATAGTTTAATTTTGCCTTTCTAAAAATTATTTTTAATCTAATCAATTTATTATTATTCTTCTATTTGACTAAAGAGAGTGAGAAAGCAAGCCTCCAGGTCCAGGACTTGAACCATGGTCGACCATGTGGGAGTCCAGCACCTTAACCACCACACCACCTGCCGGCCCCAATTTTGCCTTTTATAAGTCTTATATAAATTGAATCATACAGGGTATATTCTTTTATGTCTGCTGCTTCTACTTCCCGTGGTGAGGGGGATTTGTGCGGAGTTGCGGCCTGTTCGTTTTCACTGCTGTGTCCAGTCCTTCTACTTCCCGTGGTGAGGGGGATTTGTGCGAAGCTGCAGCCTGTTCGTTTTCACTGCTGTGTCAAGTCTCTCTGTGGGTGCACACCGAATTTCCTTATCCATCCTACTGTTCACGGCTGTCGGGCTTGTTTCCAGCTTGGACTGTGGAGCAGTGACCCCTGAACCTTTTTCTGCCTCTATCCCAGACAAACATTAATGCTGGCCTCAATAACACTCCGAGCAGCCGGTCAGAAAGCATTAACAAGCATTCCTCTGCTTGCCCAGTGCTGGAGGGCCTGTCTCACTCATCTTCCCAGCACCTCGCTTTACAGATAACTGCAGTTCTTGGGAGGCCCCATTGTGGTCAAGCAGAGAACCAGGACCGAAAAAGGAAACGGCCTGAGGCCACAGGGGCCTGTCTGGGATACCCACCTGCATTTGTCCGCCCAGTCACCTGGTCCCCATTTCATAGGCTTCATGACAACCTGGTGACTTGATTTCTCCTTCCTGGTGAGATTTAACCTTGCAAGAGCCCTCAGGGTCCCAGCGAACTGGCACGTGAAGACTCAGGGACATTTGGCAATGGCTGGAAACCTTTCTGGGTGTCACCACTTGGAGGGAGATGGTCCTGGCATCTAGTGGGCGAGGCAGGGATGCTGCTGAGCACCCTACCTACAGCACACAGGACCCCGCAGAGAACTGTCCACAGTGCTGAGGCTGAGAAATCCGGTCTGTGTGATCGTCTCAACTCTAGGGAACAGTCTTTCCTGCGGTATGGACGCCTCACTTCACTTAGTAATTTTTTTTTTTTTTGGAGAGGTTTTCGCTATAGGGCGCGTGCACTCGCCAGACAGAGACAGAGAGACAGAAAGCGAGAAATCACACCCCAGGGGGATGTCCATGCCGCAATCCCTTCCCCTCCATTCTCCTCTTGGGATCTTGGGCATGCACGCACATGTGCCCGACGTGAGTTTTAAGCCACCGGGTCCAGGACTCGAACCACTTCACTTAGTACTTTTAAAAGCAGCTTTATTGGAGTGTAATTAGTGTATAACCAACCGCACTTATTTAAAGTGTAGGACATGATGCATCTGATGTATGCACGCACCCAGGGGAGCTGTCACCACTGTCAAGAACGGTACCCCTTGGTAATCTATCCTTTCTGCCTCTCCTGGCCCCCTTGCCCAGGAAACCCCTGTTCTGCTTGCTGTCTTAGGTTAGTTTGCATTTTCTAGAGTTTTACGTCAGTGGAATCCCAATATGAACTCTTTGTTTGGCTGCTGCTGCTGCTTTTTATGTTAATACTCTCAAATGTTAATTGTTCAAGTTGGCACCCCCGCTGTGGAGTAAGCATGTAATTAGAAGGGGCAGTGCAGTCCTGTGTCCTATGACCGGAACGACTGGCTTCTTCCCCTGGCACAGTTACATCGTGGTTTCCCCCGTTGCGTGTATCAGTGTTTTCTTCCTTTCCCAGTGTCCACATGGATGCGCCCAGGTCTGCTGGGCCGCTTGTCTGCTGCTGGGCATGGCGCTGTTTCCAGTGCGGGCTGCTACCAGCACTGTTTCCCTACTCACCTGCCTGTCTGCCCTCGCAGCACCTTCCTAAGCATCGTGGCTTCCTATCTGTAACTGTTACGTGTGCCCAGGCCTAGGCTGTCTGCCCCGGGTGCTGGGGACTGAGGTGGTGGGCTCCTCAAAGCAGGTCCTGCTCCAGTGTCCACTTCCTGGGGAGCCCACCCAGGCCCTGGCTGCTGCAGCCTCTAGGCAGAATGTTGTTTTTTATTTTTTAATTTTTTTTTGGGGGGGGAGGTTTTTGCTATAGGGCACATGTGCTTGCCAGAAAGACGGAGAGAGACAGAGAGACAGAAGGTGAGAAATCACCCCCCCAGGGGGGATGGCCACGCCACAATCCCTTCTCCTCCATTCTCCTCTCAGGATCTTGGGCACGCACGCACATGTGCCCAGCGTGAATTTAAGCCACCGGGTCAGGGACTCAAACCACGGTCGACTACATGGGAGTCCAGTGACATAACCATTATGCTAACTGCTGGTCCCTGTGCAGAATGCTCTTTACCAGTAGTCATGGCATTTCTCCTCATTGAGGGCTTATTTCAGACACTGACTATGAGCTTCACCTGGATTGTCTCCTTTAACCCACAGAAGAGCCCTCTGGAGTTAGCGCTGTTTTTGTCCCCACTTTACATGGCCAAGAGCCCCGGTGTGTTAAGGCAGAGCCCGGCCACACTCCTGTACACAGCTCTGACTCACCTCACAGAGCATGAGGAGGCTGAGGAGCACGATGCCCCGGGCAGTCCCCCAGTGCCCCTCATACTTCCTCCTTCCTCCCTTCCCACAGGATCCTCAGCTACAATGCCCTCCAGTGCATCCCTCCTCTGGCCTTCCAGGGGCTCCACTCCCTGCGCCTGCTGTAAGTCTCCTGGCTTCATCCCTCCAGAAAATTCTCTCCCTCCCTCGGGAACGGCCACCCACCTGATGGGCATGCGTGTCCCCATGGCTGGGGTCCTGCTGGGCCAATGCTGTGTCCAGTGGTGGGAGTCTCAACATTCTCATGCAAACCCTTTACGGAAGCCAAGTGGTGAATGGGAAATGATTGCAAAACAGGGGGTGGGGGGCTGGTGTACCCCAAGCTGTTTGTGGTGTGTGGGGGGGAGGGTTAGCCTTTCACTTGCAGAGGCTGCTTCTGTTCAGATTCGAAGTGTTTGTGAGAGATTTGTGAACACTTTCTAAGAGTTCCACCATGAGGTTGGCCTCCTGATCACAGCCCTTTGCTATGTCTATTCCAATGTCCTCTGTCAGCCCCACCAGGGTCAAGGTGACATTGTCCCATCCCTAACTGTGGCTGGCTCAGTGTCTACTTCCTCACCAAGAAGCCTCTGGGTTCCCAGCTAGGAGAGGGAGGTGCTGGGTGCAAGCGTCCAGTGTGTGACATGAACATGGCCTTGAGTTATTTATGGTGGCCGCATCCTCCAGAGAACCAGGCATAGGGTGGCCTCCCTGGGTTAGTAAGGGCTCCTGCTTCCTTCCCTGGGGCCAGCAGGAGGGGCTCTGAGCTGAGAGCGGTCACCCTTGTAGCACTGACAAGAGGTCTGAGGATGAACACAGCGTGTCCCCTCTGGGCAGAGACCTGGGCCTGCTCTCATGGGTCCCCCACCTCTGCCTTGAGTGAGGCACCAGCAGCGTCTTCTCTCCTAGGTCTCTCCATGGCAACGACGTCTCTACCCTCCAGGAGGGTGTCTTCGCAGACGTGACCTCCCTGTCTCACCTGTGAGTAACGCTGGCCCGATTTTCTGGGCCCTATGGATTTTGTTTGTTTTCGTCTTGCTATAGGGCATGTGTGCTCACCAGAGAGAGAAAGGGAGAGGGAAAGTGAGAAAGCACCTCCTTCCCAGGGGGGCTGGCCATGCTGCAATCTCTTCTCCATTCTCCTCTTGCGGTTTTGGGCACACGTGTGTACATGTGTATATGCACCTGGAGTGTGTTCAAGGGACTGAACTGCACAGCTGGCCACGTGGGATCCAGTGCCTTAACCTTCACGTCCCCTGTTGGCCCTTTGGATTTTATTTATTTTTTTAGAGAGAGATTTTTGCTACAGGGTGTGTGTGCTCACTGGAGAGACAGAAAGCGAGAATTCACCCCCCAGAGGGGTGGCCGTGCCACAGTCCCTTCTCCTCAATGGAGGAGCATGCTCCTCTCGGGATCTTGGGCACGCATACACATGTATCAGACGCCACCGTGTCTGGGACTTGAACCGTGGTTGACAACGTGGGAGTCCAATGATTTAACTATTATGCCATCTGCTGGCCCCTGGGCCATTTGGATTTTAACACCATGGACTCTGAGGAAGATGCCGTCAGAGCTTGATGCTTTTACCCTGAATGTAATTAAGCCGTGAACTCTCTCACAGTCAGGAGTTCTCAGCCACGGCAGGGGAGCAGGAGGAGAGCCCTTCAAGTGCGGTGATGCAGGTGGGAATGACCCTTCACTGATCACTTGGGATTCTGCACGCATCGCCATGAGCCTTCAATAGCTGCTCTTCGCATTTACACACACGAAAACAGGCCCAGGCAGAGGGGGAAGCTTGCCCAGGTCGCAGAGCTGGTAGGCCGTGGGTTCCCCCCTAAGGCCCGTGCTCTCGAGCTCGCTGTGGTATTGAGCCTCTAGTGGACGAGGCGGGGGATAAGCTCCAGAAGCCACTTCTAGGAGGTGGGAGAATTGAGGTGGAATTGCTTCCAAACCATTTGGCTGGCAGTACCGTGAGGATTCTTATTCTCTCTTTTATAATTTGCTAGAGGACATGTGTGCTTGCCATCGCGAGACAGAGAGAGAGAATGAGAAAGCACACCACAGCTCCTTCTCCTCCATTTCCCCCTCCTCTCGGATTTTGGGCACGCGTGCATATGTGCTGACATGTTTTTCTAGCCACCATGTCCGGGACTCGAACCCTACACGAGACATGGAAAAGCCAGGAGTTTAACCGCTGTACCGTGAGCTGGCCCTCCATGAAGATTCTTTAAAAGCAGTAGGTTTGCTCCTCAAAACCTAAGCATAGGACTGTCATGGGACCCGCTCCTTGGTACACACTCAGAAGACTGAAAGAGAGGTGGGAGCAGCGGGTCTGCCATGCCAGCACACACGGCAGCACCAGTCTCGAGTGCCCTGACGGGACAGCCTTGTCCCCCATGGGAGAATGGCTGAGCAGAGTGAAGCATGCACACATGGGGCCGTAGTCATGGAAAGTAGTGGCGCTCTGAACCATGCCGCCACATGGATGAGCTTAGAAAACATGCTAAGTGAAATAAGACAGGTGCGCGAGGACCGTGTGTGACGTGGCCCCGCTAGGAGGCGTGCAGAATAGTCGCACACAAACGGGAAGTAGAACGAAGGTGGCGGGCTAAGCATAGGACTGTCATGGGACCCGCTCCTCGGTACACACTCAGAAGACTGAAAGAGAGATGGGGGCAGCGGGTCTGCCACGCCAGCACACACGGCAGCACCAGTCTCGAGTGCCCCGACGGGACAGCCTTGTCCCCCATGGGAGGATGGATGAGCAGAGTGAAGCATGCACACACGGGGCCGTAGTCATGGAAAGTAGTGGCGCTCTGAACCATGCCGCCACATGGATGAGCTTAGAAAACATGCTAAGTGAAATAAGACAGGTGCGTGAGGACCGTGTGTGACGTGGCCCTGCTCGGAGGCGTGCGGAATAGTCGCACACAGACGGGAAGTAGAACGAAGGTGGCGGCCCAGGCGGGGTGGGCAGTGAGTGCGTGAGCAGAACGACTTTCCGCTGGACGAGGAAGACCTGGAAGTAGCTGGGGTGGCGGCTGCACAATACGGATGGCCTCCGTGTCACAAAGTGCACACCGGAGTGCTGGAAATGGCACTGTCTACGCGACATGCATTTTGTCAGACGTGAAGAAGCGTTGGCAGCAGCAGGGGCAA